AAAAAAATATTCATAAATAAGGTACAAATTTGAAACCGAAAGATCCCTAACTATAGGGAAACATATGAAGCTTTATACTTTTAAACTGCTCTCCTCTAAAATTTGCGTTTTGGAGTTACGGGATTATACGTAGGGAGTGACGACATGACTAAAGTACAGTCACGTGATCGGTTCGTTTTCGAGATATTGCTCCATGAAAATTTCCTCCACTTCTCAATCGTATGAATTTTGCGTACGAGAGACACTGCCGTGCCTCTTGATTTACATACGACATGAATATCAAGAAGCACATCTGAGAAACGTCCCAATCAGCGTCGAGATAAAAGTGGCAACAATCAATATCGAGAGAATCGATTGTGATTATTTACACTCGCTTTTTGTTTTTAGTTTTTTTTTTTTTTTTATTTTTTTTTATTTTCTTCTATTGATTAAGTACGCGTTTGTTTTCCATCGCACCGCGACGAACTTCGATTCATTGATTAGAGTCAAGACATTGCACCGATGGAAAATTCAGAGTTGTGAAAAATAACACGGGGGATTATTAACGCGCAAAAAAACGATATAAGCGAGTGGTTTTCTCTCTCTCTCTCTCTCTCTCTCTCGATAAAGAGGTCAAAACGTCTGCAAAGAAAACTGCAACGACTCCTCCGCGGGCTCGTTAGGAGCGGCTCCGTGCGTTTTATTGGACTCCGACGACACGATCGAGCTTTTTCTCTTTCTCTTATTCCTCGAGACGCGCGCGATGCGAATAATATTCGAACTTAAATTTTGCGGTCGTCATCGCGCGCATTATTTCCCGCATAAAATTTGCCGTTCCGAAACTTTCTCGTCATTCTGTAACGTTTCTTCGCTGTATATACGTTGTTATTATACGTTAAACAACAATGCTTGGTGCTTTGTCGGCTGACAAACTCGACGCCGAAGTAACGACCGCTTGTTGTTATACAGTTTCATACATTTTACGAAGCTCTCGTTTGAACAGTTGTGCCGCGATCAATCTACGTCGTATTCTCTTCTTCGAAGAAATGGAAGATTCATCTCCAGCAAATTGTTATTCTTTTGATTGTATTTTTATATTTCTTGTTCTCGCTCATTTAATTTTATTGGATGCTATATAAGTTCCGACAAAAGCGCGATTAAATTGAAGATAGCTTCTGCTCAAGTAATTTTCCGGGAAACTTCACCTCGGGAGGAAATTGGCGCCTGCGGAACACACAACGGGGCTGTGCGAGTTGTTTTAATTTCTATAATTAAAACACTCTAAGTGATTGGGACTTGCAATCAATTTTTACGGGGGAGTACGGAAATATATTTCTCCTCTCCTCCCCTCGTTGTGTCGTTCTGATTGCTTTCAATTATCAGGACGCGCTTTAGCACGCTCGCGAATCCGTCAAAAATTCAAGCGACGCGATGAACTCGGGAGAGAAACAGTTTCTCTCCCGGTGATTGGCAGAAAGCGGTGCCAGAGTTTTTGTTGTAGTAAAACGGACGCTAATCGGTCCAACGGTTTGTTACGCGGACGTCGTTGTAACGAACTGCCGCGTTTTTGATTTTATTGCGGGAACACTGAAACCCGACCCCGAGCTGATTTGACGCCCGCGGCGCATGTGATGTAACGCGTGCGCGCGCGCGCGCGCCACATGTGTTAACAATATTTATCCCGACATCAAACCGGTTAAAACACTCTCCGTGTACAACACGCGTAAACGCGGCATTGAGGAATACGCACCAGAAATAACGCACGACCCTTCGACGAACCGGCTGAACCGATTATTTTACGACCGCCTTTTG